AATTAAAAGAAGATTTAATATGAGTTTTGGTTGAAACCCTGAATTTGATTCACATCTCAATACTTCTGGTCACTAGCCAGGTGATGGCTTGCAGTTCAGAACCCATATTTGTGGAGAAAGACTCTCTGAATGTAGATCTAAAGCTTCTTTGCAGAAAACTTCATCTTCTGCCATCTTCACGCTGGCTGCTATTCCTGTCTCCCGAACCATAAGAGTTGACCATTTCAACTCAAGTTCCCTTGTCACTTTTTTAGGTGTTTTGTCTGTACAGTGAATCCTCTGTTTTCATGCCCTAGAGATTGCTCTCTTTTTCTTCAGATGTATGATAATGTATATCTGATTTTCATTCAATAAGAACAATCAAAATGTGAAAACAGTGCCTTCTTCCATCTGTTTCAGCACTTGCGCGGACCGTCCCATTTTAATTAGTAAGTAGTACTAAGAAGCAGTGGTCCAGAACTGAGAGAGAATGATCAGCACTGCTGGTTCCTGTCCAGATGTACTATAATGAGCATCCTGAACAGGAACAGGCATACTTCAGTGGAATTATAGTCTTGGCAGTGCTGGATTATTAAGCCACTAATAATCTTCCTAATTCTACTTCGCTAGGACCACTTCTATTTCTTACTTATTATGGAGTGTGTATATGATTGCCCAGGTGGTGAAGGGAAGGAACAGAGATGGGGATAATTCTGAACAGGAAGTTTTGTAACTGTACTTTACTTTATTGCCAAGAGTCCTTAATATTAGCATATATTTTGCCACCTGAATAATATGCGTCTTTAAGATTTTGATTACAGTTCCTCATCCTTTACTTTTCTTCCAATTTGAGCATCATTTGCAAACTAGGAACTGTTTTCAGTATTCTCATTCAAATAATTACATTCATATAAAAATCTGTTAATGAAATATTAGAGCTAAGAGTTTAATTGCTGAAATATCAACCCTCAGAGCTTGAAAATTCAGGTAAGGCTCCCTAGCAACAGGATCTATTATTAACACTATAAATATTATCTAATGAATTTTGAAATGAACAACCTAGTGTAGGTACTTTCAGGAGTATATATAAGGTTAAGGTGCTGTTTAAATATCAAATAGATTTTTAAAAAATAGCTTCTCTGTTCTTTCCGATTATTTTATTGCTTATCAAATTGTATGTTCATTTTTCTATCAGTTAATGAGAAAAGCCCCCATTTCTTTTGAAATATGACAGCATTTAGTGTCTATGCATCATATTACTGTCTTAGTCTTTTCTAAAGGGAAATGAAGCAAATTAGAAAAGCAAAATTAGAACACAAGCTTAATTTATAATGTACAAAAGCTACTATATGATGGTTCAAAAACTTGAATCTGTAAGGGTGGATGGCCCTTTGGAGGAAGGAATTGTAGACCTAATAAAATATTTTTGGAAGATTTTGATGTGATTGTGATGATGATTCTATCATAATTTCCATAAAAATATTACATATAAATTTTCTACAAAAGGAGAAATTACTCTAGTTCAGATTAATAAAAATGAGTGTAGAAAAGCATTGCAGGTTTTTAGTTGACACATCGTTAGTATCAAGGCAAAATTGATTGACTGTTGAAAGTGCTAGATACATGATTGAGAAACTGTAGAACTAGTATTGAGAAAATGATTTAGGACAGGATTAAAAAGCATTGCCATTTTTTTTTTACCTAAACCCTGTTGTCCATGAGACAAATGGCAAAACAAGGGCCTAGAATTTGGTCCCCTCATGTCTTGAGTAAGTGCTAAAGTACTAGCTCAAAGGTTGCCATTTTCAGCCCATCTAGGGTCTATCTGCTTCTGAAAGATCACAATTTAGAATATTCCATGGAGCAGTTCTACTCTGGGGTCATCAGGAGTTATCATCGTATTGGCACCACTTGCAATAACAGAGTGAAATGACTCTTTGCCCAAGAATACGCAACACAAGAGCAGGCAGCTTTGTCACAGAACAATGCCAGTGTCTACTCTTCCATAGCTAAGCACACATCGGAAGATGGATGGAGCATTAATTAGAAACAGGTTGTTTCTTTGTCACTATATTGGTTAATGTAGGGCATTCCAGACAAAAACACATGTTGGTTTGCCGAAGTTAGACTACAACTTCACAGCTTATATATGAGCATGTGTGGCTGGAGCCATTCCACTTACAGGATAGAGGATTCTGGACCAAGGCAACTCCAGAATAGGAATTTTAGCTGTGAGAACGCTACTGATACTAAAGGAAAGGGGTACAAGTAAACTCTGTAAGAGGAGGGATTTAGGTTAATCATAAGGAATAGTGCTTATTGATGAAGCAAAAATATTGAGCCATTATGTATCCTACAATTCTTTTTGGGACTGAGAATTTTAAGGAAATATATCATACTTGCTTTTTGGAAGGTCATGATTTAGCTGGAGAAGCAAGATATAATGCTTATGAGGTGTCGAAGAAAGCTATTGATGGAGTGGCAAAGGAAAGTTGTAAATAGGAAATCAGATGAGTACTTAGAAGGATCTCTTAGAAAAGAACTCTGAGGTTTAGTGACAGCATGGCAAAATGGAAATACCACGAACTGTGTAGTCAAACAGACATCTCAGCTTTCACACCTACCAGGTGTCTAGCTTGGCCAAGTTGTTTGTTTCTTCCTCTGTTAAACTAGGAGTACAATTCCTAACGAGCAGGGATCCAATAATGGATTCAAGGACATAGTGTTTAGGGCCGATGAGGTGATAAACATGTCCTAAATCTATTTTGGTGATGATTTAAGGAATTCATGTGACTATACTTAGTACTATTGAATTGTACACTTTCTTAATGGGTTAATTGTGTGGTATTTGAATGTTACAGAAAATACTGGTTAAAAAAAAACTAGTATAATTCACCATATAGAAAAGTAACTATTTGATCTTGCAATTCCATTCCTCAAGAGGCATGAAAACGTATGTCTCCAAAAAGACTACTTTATGAATGTTCATAATTCATAATATTGTCACACCGACAGATAGATAAGCAAAAAGTATATCAACTACCATTCCAAGTGGTATGGTATTATTTGGAAATAAATTGGAACCCAATACTAAAACATGGTACAGCATAGGTGAATCCCAAAACCATTTTGCTAAGGGAAGGAAGCCAGATACAAAAGGATAAATGGTGTGTGCTTCTGTTCTTTGAAACATCCAGAAAAGGCAAATTTACAGAAGCAGAATGGGGATTAGTGATTGCCAGGGCCTGAGGGTGAGAACAGGATGCTTTACAGATGGGATCATTTAGAGGGTGATGTAAATGTTTGAAAGTTTGAGTCTGGTGATGACGGTACAATTTGGTGAAATGACTCCTTTTAAAATGGGTAAAGTATATCTCTATATGACTATTTGAAACTTAATGGATTCAAATTGCCCTGTAATAGATGTTCAATAGAGGATGGATTTCATTATTGTGGAAGCTATCAAGGAAACTTTCAAGGTGGGCAGTTCAAAAACAATCAGTCCCTCCTTGGGAGAAACATGGAGCTTTCTACTCCTGCCCGTAAAGCGTGACAGGCTCTTTAACCCCTGGGAAGTTCTACCCTGCCCTATAAGGTTGCTACGATTCACCATTGACTCAATAGCAGTGATAGAGCTGATGAGAATATTAAATTTGTACCCAGTAATATTCGGAGATAAGACAGTGTTGCAATTATACGCGGGATAGTCAAGGTTGGTAGCGTATTACTGACACAGAATTGCTGAACAGACAGAAATGAAGACGTTTGAAAGAAGCCCACCATGATAACAGTAGTGTTCACCTAAGAAGCCCACCATGATAACAGTAGTGTTCACATAAGAAATGTCTTATGTCAGGAGCAATAGGGTTTACAATGCTGTGAGTAGAGCTATTCCGGCGGTAGCTGTCTGGTCCTGATCCAAAGCATTTAAAAGTTGAGCTGAGAAGAGCTATGTCAGAATATGGTTTGATGTGGCATGGCTTAATGGACACCGGCCTAAGCAGTGATGTATGTAGGATTAAGGCTGTTTTGGAGCAAGTGGGCTGTGTGAATCCAGTGGGAGAAGCTAGGTCCAAGGTGATCAGCTTCGGAGCAGTAAAGACAGTGCTGTGGAGCCATCCGGATTGGGGAGTGTGTGGGGGGTGGGGGGGGCATAGGAGTGATCGACCTGGACATCTTTCCTCTAGCTGCTTGTGGGGTGACAGATGCCCTGACTGCTCTGCCTTCCGGTTTTAGGAGTCATTCAAGTAAGCAGCCGCCAGTATTATGCTCTCCAGCTTTCCACAGGATTCAGTGAGGTTTCTGGGAGAGACATCTCCACATGTCTCCTTAACGTTGTCTAGAATTTTAAGGATTTCCCACCCAACTTGCATCAAATCCTTACAGTGTTGACTTCATCTAAGTGATAAGACCCTGACCTTTTCAGAAATCCCTGTGATGTCAATCCGCATTCTGCTAAATTTCACCTGACAGGGTAAGACTGAAACTTTATAAGCTAGTTTGTTAAGCATCTCAGTAATCTGCTCCAGCTAAGCCCTGGGGTGATTAGATCTGGTGTGCGGTGTCCTTTGATTTGGAAGGAACTTATTACGTGTTTGACCATTGACTAATGAAGTAAAAATGCAGTCAGTAGGGCTTGGAGCGATTAAACTGGATAGGACCCTTGGCAGCCATTAGTCCCTTCTGCCCATTATCCAGACTGTGATTTATTTTCAGAATGATGAGTGTTCATTTTCTCACCCACATACCTACCGTATTTCAGGAAAAAAACAGTGCTGACAATCAGCAGAGAAGGAGATGAAAGATATTCCTGGTAACTCCTATTTTGAGTCCTAATCACCACTATATATATGGGGGGTAGGGGCTGGGAGGGCAAAGTGCTCATAAAGGATTATTGTGGTGAAAGCCAATTTTCCCCCAAATGGCCTTCCTGATATGTAAATTAAAATACTATGCTATCATTTTTGATAATATAAACATAAAAGATCAAGGAAATTGAAATTGCATTTTTATTTTTTCAGGTGCACTTTATGATTGGCCATAACAGCAAAGTAAGTATACAATATTTTTAAGTTGATTATCCATTACATTTTAGAATGCTTTTTATCTTTTCTTCATCAATGTATCTCATTTCCCCAAAGTCCGGAGCTACTAGAGTTCACATGCTTGAAGAAATGGGCTTAGTTTTGTCTTTACTGCTGGTCTCAATATTTTCAAGGGTCATCAAATTTCTCTCTGTTAAAACTCACCACCATTCCTACATAGATTGTGGAGTGGGTGGAGGATGGACAGCAGGCGACATGCTATGTCTCCTCGCCTTTACTTGAGTGGCTCCATGTGAGGCACAAAGTTCCACCTGGAATAGTCGATGCCTTTGCAGAATAGGACGTCATGAATCCCTACAGAGACTTGTTTGCAATGAAGAATTTGATTGTTGAGGTGTGTTTTTTTTAATTTTCCCATTTCGATCAACTATGAATTTGTCATGCCAGACAATCATCTAAGAAGTTCCTTTCTAGAGATAACTCGTCAATGTGATCAATAAGGCAAATGGCCAACCTATCCCTTTTGAACAGAAATAAGTACATCACACAGCGTTACTTTGTGATCATAATATAACATTCATGATGTTCAAAAATCAGCAGAGTGCCATGGAAGGTTCTGTCAGCCCCGGAAGAATGATCAGTGCAGTCTTGTAGTTCTTTTCCAACTTTCTGCAGTGTCCTGATTCATTACAGCCCCTCAAAATGTTGACTACTACCACCACAAATCTTGTTTCTAGACAATCCCTGATATGGGTAATTCAGACACAAATCAAGCCTAACCCGTTGCCTGGAATTCCATTCTAACTCATAGTGACCCTATAGAGACTAGGATTGCCTCATTGGGTTTCCAAGACTAAATCTTTTCTGAGGCAGACGGCCCCCTCTTTCTCTCTTGGGTGATGGGTGGGTTGAAACTTAATACTATGAGGTATGCATCAGTGTACCTAACCACTGTGAAATTTATTCATCAAGAATTTCATTTTCTTAAAAGTGAACTGAGAAGTTATTTGATTGATAACACAAAGCAACTCTTTGTATCTTGGTGCCCAATAGATACTCTTATAAATTACAGACAAATTACAATAGATGGCAATTCCTGCATGGCTGCCACTGATAGATAAATCTATGCCATATTATTCAGGCTTTTATTGTCTCTTAAAACATCATCAGATTGATTTTACAGTAGCAAGGATATAAAATAAAGACACAAGATACCTTTCCAATAAAGGAGAAGTGAACCAGCCTTCTTTGTGCCTGAGAATTCCAGTGTCGAAGTGGAATAACATCTACATGCACCTTCTTGTTTCTGAACAAGAACTGTGTATTTGTTTCTCACTTCACTTGTAAAATGCCCAACCAGTTTTTTGTAGAAAAAAAAAAGCCCTGAGAGAGAACTCAATATTTCAGACCCGATTCGGTCACTAGCAAGCTGTATGACTTGACATGAGTCATTCGGGTGCTCTGTGCCTTGATTTCCGCATCTATAAAATTAGAGGGTTAGATTAAATGCCCTTCAAGATCCCCTTTTGCATTAGTATCCTATAGTTTAATATGATAAATGCACATAATACCATCTGTGCTGTATTTATAATTAAGCACCAGCTTTATGTGACCTGGTAGCAATATCTGAATATAGAACTAGCAACAATTTGGAGGTGAAAATAGAGAATGTGGCTACTGAGGCAAGATGATAATAATAACCACTATTTGTGTATTAATAATTCACTAAAGCAATAACTTTGGAACACCTAGATTGGTGCTAGGCACTGAAGATGCAGTGATAAAAATGAAATATTTCCTTTTTCTTCACACAAACCAGTGAAAGACATAGATCTATAATGTGGAAAAGTCTTAATTAAAGTGAATGCTTAGGGAAGGGACTGGTAATTGAGTTGTCTTAAAATTAAGTAGCACAGCTATCTTTTATTTCAGTCATTGTGGCTGAAATGTTTTATAAAACTGTACTCCATTTTACTACCTTAATAAGTACAGTTTAGTGAACATAATTGTGTTTTACTGTAGCTAATTGAACATGTTTTTCAGGGTTTCAAGTTCAACATTCTAAAATCAGTGCCGGCAAAGAGAGGGGTTGGGATATATCTATATTGACACAAGACCAGCTCTTGGGAAACGAGTTTCTTTGTCTTTCAGAAAAATCCAAGACATTGGCTTTCTTAGTCACTACTTTTCTTTTCCTCATGAAAGCTGAGAATAGAACATGAAATACTACGTTCCATTAGTTGAGCTATATTTAATTATGATTTTGCCATATATCAAATCCTAATTCATAACCTCGGGCTGCGGTTTGTTTTGAGGTAAGTAGTGGGTTCAGGTTCAGATGCCACATTTAATACAGGGCTTGGTCTAGTGACAAGAGAATACCGAGGGAGGGTGAAGGATATAATCCTACAATATAGTTAAGGGAATTTATGACCCTTATAGTGAAAACAAAAACAAGCATAAGATAGAACTCTTTCAGTATTGTTGAAGAGCAAGTAAAATAGCCAGTTTGGAAGGGATCTACAAGATCATCTAATCCAATCTCTATCCATATAATATCCATTCATACGTTATTCCTTCCTAGCATCCCATTGGATGAATGGGAACAGCTGGCGAGCTTCTGAAGTGGTTTAGACCTTCGATGGGCGCCTTTGTTGGCACTGAGCTCACAAAACCCCACCCACTGGCTTGAGCCGTATAGAATAGTTCCGATTCCCTGTCAAACCCCATCTCTCAGATATTTGAAAACAGTTATTCTGTTTTACTTGAATCTTGTTTTTGATCCCCTCAGCCATAGCAAGGAGACTTATTCTCCAGAAGGTGGAGCTAGCATCAAGATCACGCTCCTGCTTAAATAATGTTGGCACTTGGTTGCCACAAAGATAAGAGACAAGTTCCTTATCATGGCAGGATTGTGCCTACCCTTGACTTTGATTTTTCATTATTCCTCCCATGCATGCCACTATAAGCTTGTAGCTACTTCATCAACAAGTTAGGTCTTCGTCTTCCCTCTATTCCTTGCTTTGTTGGTGGTTTTTCCCCATTGTGGGATACCCTCCTTTCCATCCTGAGACCAGTGCACAGTCAGTAAGTCTTCAAGAGCTAGGGCTACTTTTACTCTATTTAAACATTCCTAGATGCCACTTTGTGCCTATGCTCTTCCCTCTGAAAACAAATCCCTAATAGGTTCTTAAATTCAAAGCCAGTTCTTCCATTAACTCATCAATAGCATATTAACGTGCTTAGTCTTTATGTATTTGCTCACCTAGAATGTGGACTCTTGAGATTAAATACAGTGCCATCATATCACTTTCCTCTAGCTTTAACATGGGAGCTCTGGTAGCGTAGTGGTTTCACCACCAGCTGCGTGCGGCGCAGGAGTGAAATGGCGCATTCTGCTCTTGTGAAGGGTTACAGTCTCAGAAACACACAAAGGTCGTTCTACCCTGTCCTGTAGGGTTGCTGTGAATCAGAAATGGTTTCATGACATTGTTTTTCAGTTTGAGGTTTAACATCATTGAAAAAGCATGTACAAAATGATATGTAAAACATTTTTTGTTTCTCTTGAACATAAATCTTTTTCAGAAATTTCAAGGGATGTTGCCTAATTTTACCATTCTGAAATATGATTGACCTTTTATTCCATCTATCCATAATGATTTTGTGAGCGTTCCACCCATCTTTCTTCCTCTGATGATGAAGAAGCTGAGTCCTTTTTGCCTATTCCATATTCCACTAAATTATGTTTTTCTCAGAATCTTTTCTAGATCTTTCATGAATCTGAATTTAACGCAGGCAGCGTTTTCCACGGCCACTTATAGCATCATTCATGCCAGGTGAACATTTTAAACATTTTCCCACCTCCATCACCCTCTTCTCATGATTCTCCCATGTCTCCCCCATGACAGCTTCCCGCACTCACAGATTTCTGAAAGTGGTTATTTCCAAGCCAGTGGCCAATTATTAACTTGTCTTTCTTTACTCAACAATGCAAATGCATACATTTTGCTGTAATATTGGTACATAGTCTTGAACATATGTCTTTTTGAACTCTGGCAGGCCAAATTCTGAAAATTCTTAGTCTAAGTTATAGATAACTTCAGGATATTTCTAAGCCAAGGTTTATTCTTTCAGAAAGAAGCAAGAGGTTGATGCTTGGGATATAGATAACTTCAGGATATTTCTTAGCCAAGGTTTATTCTTTCAGAAAGAAGCAAGAGGTTGATGCTTGGGAAAAGTATAGATGGTTGGATGGGGATTTCAAGTAAATTCCTCGAGGTAAACCTTTGAAAACAAAAAAAACCCTCTTCTTAAAATAAATGTAAGACAACAAAAATAAAACTTCCTAAGATAAACCACTTCAACCTCTAGTAGGTCTAAGAAAGCCATGACCTGCTACATAGTTCAGACATGGTAAAATTTGCCCGCCATACCAGTCGTCTTTGAATGAGCATGCCTTTTGATGATTGAACTTGAATGACTGAGAGACCAGATAAGTGAAACCATAGATCAACTGGAACCTACAAAGTGATGAGCACAGATGAATGCTTTTCAAAATTGAGGGGAGCAATAGGAAAAACTTTCATTCGATAAACTATATATTTCCCCTTTGCTGTCAACAAATAGCATTTTAAAATCTTTCCCCTTGAGTTCCTGGTAAAATTTTCCTCACTCGGAGCACTTCAATATCCTAAACTGAAATCTACTTGAGCACCAACGCCGTTTGGGGAAGAAATGCTCTAAAATGCTCGGGAAGCTTCTAGAGTTGCTGGAAGTTGATGAGATTACCTGTCTCTCCCCTGCCCCACTACCCCCTTACTTGGAGTCTAAGGACAATTAACCCGTTCTTTGGGGGCTGGGATGTTGAGGCAAGAAAGAGGTGTTACTATTTGCTGTGAGCTCCACAAACCCATCTTCTGTCCTAGTGAGAGAACTAAGCATTGATGTTCCAAGTGACCATTTCCATCTCTGAGAGAAATAGCACAGAAAATGAATCAATGACACCC